TTTGTAATTTAGACCTTTGAACACACAATATCTGTAGATATTGGCACAGGCCTTAGAAACCTTTGCTAATATTTATATAATTCATTCTCTTTACTTAAGTTTAATCATCCCTCTCCTAACATCATATGCTTATAGTGATTCTCAGTGAAATCCACTATTCAGAATCACTGTAATAATACTCGGAGATTTTATGCTGAGCTTAGAAAAAAGATTATTCTAAATGTTCTGAAATACAAACAAAACACTTTTTATGTTGTGTCTCAGATGGCAGTGTTAAAATAACTGGCCAAATTGAGAACGTGACGTGAGAATGCAGCCGACCAATACTCATGTGGTATGCAGGGTAATGATTTGCTACATAACGAAGACAGCTACATAATGAGCTTGTTTTATTTTTTGTTTGAAAACCAAATTTAGTGATATTTTCTGAATTCACATAATTTTTGATAACCTTTTTTCCAGCTTGATGAATTAATTGAAACATATAAAATTACAAACTGTGAATAACGTGCTTGTTTACATCAAGTGAGACTCACTTTATTGAGTTTATAAAATAAAAATAATAGTTACCTATAAATAGTTTACTTCTCTTAAAGCATAAAATAGTTGGTATTTGTGGAGTTTTGAGAATAGTGGAGAAGTATCTGTTTTTGTTTTTTTTACAATCATAAATCGATATGTAAGTTGATCCTATTAAATGAAGTACTAATTACCGTAAAGTCCTGAAAGTAAGCAACCCCCTCTTGAGCTTTCAAAGTCTTAGAAAAGTTGAATAAGCAACCCCTAAATATAATAGATATGTATATATAATAATATAAATAACTCGACAACCAGTAATAACTTGTTGCCGAGATTTTTACGAAAGACTCGAAAATAAGCAACCCCTTAAAAATCGATCTAAAAATGATAACGTAGGGGGTTTCTTATTTTCGGGACTTTACGGTAAACCGAATTTGGCTCTAGCGCTAGGAACAGTCATAGCAAACTATCTTGATAAATAGAAGTTGATTCAGGAACAGTTGCCTCGATAAATCGGCTGTGTATTTGAATCATTGTTTACCGTATTTCGCCGCATAATTGTCCCCTTTACAATTCTGGCGGAAAATAATGACGGCCAGTTTTTTTATTATATTTCACTCAATTATATAATAAAATTAAAAATAAATTATTTTGATAGTACTTTTGAGCAGGACATTATGTTCCCAAAATATCAGTACCTGATGTTGTCTCTTTCCGTGTCAATGCAAAATTTAATGGTCTAAAAATTTTGTAACTTGAACGTTTTTTAAAACTAAAAATTGCAATAATTCGATAAATATTATTCTGATTAAAATGAAAATGTTCGACTTATTGAGACAAATTTAATAAGACCAAAATTTTAAAATTCTGATCACTGGTTATTGAGAAAATATGTTTTGAAAATTTACAAACCTGCAATCAGTAAAATGACTTGCCATGATGCGTCCTTATTAGATTTCGCAAATTCATCTCATTTTTATTTTTTTTTTAATTGTTATCTTGCTAGAAATCTAGCACTTTATTTATATATTTTACTTCTATAAAAAATGCTAGTATTATAGTAAATGTAAAATTTGTATAACATTCTTACCGCCATTACTTTCCGCCGGAACTGTAAGAAATTTAAACGTTAATTTAGTCTATTTTTTTTAAATAGTGCAATTTCTTCAAAAAATTTTTGTTACTAAATCAATTGCTCTAGTTTTAAATTTTCTATTTTACATGATCACTAGTACCTGTACGTGAAAATAAAATTTTGTATATATACTTAAAAATGAGCAATGTAAAAAGTATATTTTGCAATAATTGCATTAAAATATAAAGTTGCTACTGAGATAAATCCATTTGATTTCTTTAAATTTAAAATTTTATCTTACATCTTATTCGAAAATACAAGTTTAGACACATATTAATTAAGAAATTATATTTTTTATAATTCTAGCTCTATGCTATAGCTTATTTTGTTACTTTATCAGGAAATTAACAATTAAGGAAAATATAAATAATAGAAATTTATTCTAATAATGTTATATAATATAAAAATACAAATTTTTCTCGATCGTACTCTGCGGAAGGATATTCGGCTGAGGCTGTGGAGGCATATTTTCGGGAAAAATTAGCTGAGACGGTGACAATATCTGATTATTATCGTTATTATCATTATTATGATTATTGCTGCTGCTGCTGCTGCTGCTGCTGCTGCTGCTGCTGCTGCTGCTGCTGCTGTTGTTGTTGTTGTTGTTGTTGTTGTTGTTGTTGTTGTTGTTGTTGTTGTTGTTGTTGCTGTTGTTGTTGTTGTTGCTGTTGTTGTTGTTATTTAGATAATATTTGTATTGATAGTAATGGTTTAGCATATTAAAGTCCAAAAATGCAGGATTTTGAGAGAGATATTCCCATAACGATAAGTCAAGATTAATCAAAGTTGAAGAAGCAATATCTTTTTTTATAAACATCATAGTTAAATTTTAATAGATAAAATCATATAGCAATATGCATTTTAAATAAAGCAAACCTTTTTTAGCATCCGCAATTAAATGTTTGACTTCGTTAAATAGATCTTTAAAGCAGACTTTTATAGCTTCAGGTGAATTTTTCCACGCTGCGCTAGCAATGCTAGAGATATGACATCTTTCCAGCCCACTGCCTTTAAATAACGTTTGGATCGAAGTGCGAAATATTAAAAATGCATTAGGACTTTTGCCCAACTGTTCTTTTTTCTTTAGGATACTAGTAAATATATCTATCGCTTTCGGAATTTTGACATGCTCTTCAAAAATTTTCGTGCCATTGTGATGCGTTGTTAAATATAATACTTTATTTGAAGAACTATCAAATGATACCGATACATTATGTTCGAGTTGTTTAAAAAGATCGTTTTGTTTAAAAAGATCGTTTTGTGTATATTTTTTGATAACATTATTTTTATTATATCGTGGCGGCATAATGAAATGAAATATTTTGTATTGTGTCAAACTACAATAAGAGAGTAAAGAATATTGAAAAGTAAATTTTGATGAAGGGATGAAAGTATCATTTTACATGTTTACCTATTCTTTATATAGCATTAAATTTTGCACATAATCATTATGATTACACAGCAAATAGAATACCGATACTATAACACATCAAATGGATTGAATGCTCTAATGCTTAATGTAAAATGTCACATTGTACGGAGTAACATTATCGTTATAGAAAAAATCTTAACCTTTGAAAAACATTTAACCAATTACTCATACAGTATAACGATAAGACGCATTTTACGTACATTTGCATTATAGAAAAATCTAACGCATTTACATTTGACATATCGATATTATGGGGGGAATTGTACAACAATTAAAAATGTGCATTCAGCAACTATTGTTATCCATTGATGTGTTGACGTTTATAGTTAGAGCTATCGCTATTATAATTGATTCGTGTTTGTTTGTTTACAACTAAGTACGTAACACGAGTTTTTTTTGGCTAAATTTTAATATTCATTTTTTAAGAATATTAACCACGCCTATTACGTAGTAGCTTATTTTCCTCCTTTTAGATTAAAGAATCAATTACGAGATTCGCATGTACTTTACATTTTTCTCTTGTTGAACTTTTAGCCAACATTCCATATTTATAAATATACTTGAATGATATTTTATTTGAAGCATTTATTATAAAGCTTCTTTTCCATCGATTATTTCTGGTAACAAACTCTTCAATGAAAGCTTTAAAAACTAAAAAGACAATTAACTTTCACATGAACTATATTCAAGAGATAATGAATATGTTGAAGCAAGGAGCTTCCATGTTTTAATTCTTTAGCAAATTAGCTACTTATTTTTTTCGTGCATTTTTCTATGCATTTAATTTAGGGCTGAAGGTTACACGTTCACGGCAAATTTCAGGATTTCAAAGTAATATTGTTGCTTTGTAACAATTTCATTATCTAAAAAGGAATTATCATCTATATCGATGAAAAAAGCAAATACAAACAACTTGATCACTTATTTGAATAAGTAGAGACGTGAAAATGAAAATATATATGCAAAACTTAATAAAAAAACTTTTATTGAATGTCATTTTAGAATTATTGGTTGTTTTGATTTTAGATAAATCGTATAAAATTAATACCCCACCACGTATATTTATTTTTATGTACAGTCGCCGCAAAAAGTAACGCCCGATTTTTTTAAAAAATGAAATTTTCGATTTATTTCATTTCTGCTTTAT